TTAGATTTTTGACAAGAACATTTCTGTAATCTTAAATCAACTGGTGCAACCCAGTCCTAGTATTCACAAAAAAATTGTTTCATTCCACATAACATACAATCCATTTATGATTGCGGACAGTGGTTAGTTATATATCTTTATTTTACCGCGGTATGAACAGATGCTCATCATTGCGTCTGATGTCAAACTGGTCAAACCTTTTCATTGGACTTAGTCGCCTGTCTGCAGTTTCCACTTTCTACAAAACGTTTGAATAATTTCCACAACACATTTCTATGGGTTGGAAGATTTTCTTCCTGTGGGTCACATCCAACTTAAATACGCTCATGAACTTGGTAAACTCTCACATCAAACAGCAAGATTTTGGACACCGAGGGACATTTGGTAAACACGCAGCACGCCCTGGCTGTGAGGGTTGTGTGGTTGCAGGGGCTTGCACGGAGCAGGTCTGGTTTCGGTGACTTCTGCGATTATAGCCGGTTTGGTGAGGTGACCTTATTTCCTACAAGGATGAATGGGCTGTCACTACCTTGAGACTGCACAAGCGTTTGATGCCTTTAGCCACACACACCCAAATTTTAACAGTCCATCCTTTAAAATGAGAGAAAATATATGCAGGGTGGTGATCCAAAAAAATACCACAAAAGAAACTAAATAGTGGTGGAAATAGAAATTAGGTTTCTAATTAAAGACTTAACAAAATATAATCCCTTTACACATAATAATAGAATTTGACTCTACTCTTTCAGAGTTCGCTGTTGTAATTGATTGTGAGCATGTTGCTGGGTGTGGCTGCGCAGCTGTTGTGCTGTAGAAATTTCTCATTAGCAGGCTATGACTGATGACCCAGGACAGGATATGATGCATACCTGCCTCCCAAGCTTTTGTAAACACTTGGTTGTGTTTTTCCTTTCGATCATTCGCTGCTTCGCCGTAGTTCAAAAAGGAAAAACATGTCAGGGCCCTCCCCTTCAATCTGTCAAACTACTGTACTTTGTCTCTTGTTGCGGTTAGGTCAAGCTATTCTTAGCAACCTGGCTTATCAGGTGGATGGTAATCATAGGTGGACTAGTTTAAGAACGTGTGGTTTCAAAGGCTGGCATCAGTTTAATCTAACTTATCGGATTTCTATTAATAGTTTGATTAACAAATGCTTAGCTGTAAAAGTGTGATAAACATTTTTTCTTGATTCTGATAAGGACCAGATACCTGAGCCTTTTTCTGTATATATTTCTGTGTGTGATGGGATAAGATAAGATATTTTTTCAGAGCACTTTGGATATGTAACTGATATTAAGTCCATCCTCACTGCTGCAACTGATAGTTTTGAATTTCATCAGTCTGCAAATTGTATCTCTTGTTTGTCCTTTAGAGCACCTCAGTTGGCACAATGACTCCTTTACAACATTGCTTCATTTCATGCTAAAATGTACATCCTTGTGAGTTGCACTGCAAGTCAGATAAACAAAAGTGCACTTATTCTCTCATTCTCCGTCTCCCTTTCGACTCTGTCCAGCTCTCTCATCCCTCTAAAACAGCCTTTGTCCCTCCCGTCTCTTCCCTCAGCTGTTCCATGCCCCTGCTCCACTGGGATTGATACAATATTTTCCAACCTCAATTAGCTGAGAGCCTGTTGACTAATTCCAACTGTTTTTACACCTGAGAGGGATCTGGGAGTCGCTGCTGGAAAAACTGAGTGGGGTGGAGGTGAAGGGCCGGAGCCTGGGTGTAGCAGGCAGAGCTGTCGGGTAATATAGCTGTGTCGACAAGAGCGTAAGGGCAACACAGAGGACAGAGGAGGGGTCGGCCAGACTGCTGGGCAGCGTTTGTGGAAGCTGCAGTCAGGCTGCAGGAAGACAGTCCTGAGTTGACAGCTACAGTTTGTTAAGGTGTGCTGAGCAGTGTGTCTGCAGGTATGTCCACTATGTGTATTGCAAGAACTCCAAGCATTCAAGCATATGTCAGGAATGTTTGCATTTCCATTGTTCCATACTGATTTTTAGATTGAAACTGTATTCATTTAATCCTAAGGAGAAACACATCCTCTTTCCTGTGTAAGATGAATCTGTGCCACTGCTCTTGTCATTAAATATGTACCACTTCCTGCTTGTCCAGCATTGTCACTATATCGTTATCAAGACATCATCTGGGAATGTGATGGAAGTAATGGTAGCCTCAGTCAGAACTAGGACAAGACCTCAAAATGGCCTTTGTCCCTCTAGCTCCCATTGTGAGACGCAACAGCAGAATTACCACGAGGTCCGTTTTGTTAGAATTGAGGCAAAGCCTACATGACCGCTGGTCTGGCAGCGCGCTCAGCTCAGGGTGCAGGTACACACCCTCCCTCTGTGTGAGCGCTGAAAGAATCGTTCTTTCCACCAAAGGAAATGAGAGGATGATGGCTAAAGTGTATGAGGACATTATATTTAAGGGGACTGTACTTTTTCAAAGAGTGCAGCTCCAACCGCCAGAGCATAAATGACATTAATATGGCAAGAAAAGGCATCTCACATCAATGCCCAGACATCAATTTTGCTGCTGTCCTTGAACACTCGTTTAAATTTAAACTCCCTCGTGATTCCAAATTGCTACCAGTCTTCCAGCATGACTTTTAAAGTGTCAAGTTTATTTGAGAGAAATATTTTATTATGGTAGCTGACACATTACAACTAACATGGGAGAATAATGTCTGAACTTGGATACACCCACAGGACACCATTTACCACAATAATAATTTATCTGAAGTTGAATTCCTACCTGTGTGTGTGTGTGGTTTTAAAAGATTCTGCCAGGTGACTAATCCTGACAGGTTAACAGATGTCATCCAGTCTGCAGCTCAGAGCTTAATGAAACTGTGGCATCAGACTGGTCCTTTCGCCTGACGCAGCAGCTGTTCCTGCCCCCAGTAGCCGTATGGAAAAATGTGACTCACCCGCTTGTGTAAAAAAGCATTAATGACCAAATGCATAAATATTACAGTCAAAGGCATAAATGTCTCTAAGGGCTATCCAGTCCGTCAGTCAACCAGTGACTAATGGAGAGGGAGGTCAGATCGTGACCACAGTCGGCTCCTCTGACCTGTTCAAGCATCTAAAAGACAACCATGGACAGACACACCCAAGAAGCTTATGCCATTAGAATAACCTGGGTCTATGTGGATGTGCTCCACTGAATGTTGCACACGGGACTTCAACAAATGTCCTGTCTGAGCAGGTGCTAAGAAGCAAGGAGCGGGGTGCAGGAGATACAGCCGACTCTGAGGCTGTGAGCACATGTGTCAGGAAAATGTGACGGCAAATGATTGTCAGGAAAGTGTTCATACACTAATCCCAAAACACTGCTTTAGACCAAAACTGTTAGCTATTCACACAGGCATGGTCATACATGCACGTACAAAGAATATGCACTTTCTAAGTTTATATCTGACTTCAAAACTGCCATCTCACTACTTGTACCTAATGTGAACAGAACACATGAATCCGTGTTTGCATTTGTTTGGAGAATGTGTTTCCGTTTACACCTGCTACTTACACGATGCATTTCCATCACAGTCTTGACAAGTTAATCCTCAGTGAAGCTTTTTTTTCCGACACCAGCTTGCATCGCCAACTGATGCTCAATGTCTTTCCTCAAGTCAGCTTTCTTGTAAACTCAGTGCTGGCTGTCCCATGAGGAGCCTAAATCCACACACAAGTGTATTCCCTTTTTACCTAGCAACGCTTCTCATGCTCTAAACACAACACAAATAGCAGCGTGGTGATATAACCTCAGGATATCCCTATGAACTGCTATAAAAGTGAAAAGATAAGAAAGTCCAGCCAAAACACACAGAATGCACTCAGGCTGCCCCAGCTACTTACTGTCTGCGTAGTTTTTCCGACGAGTGCCATCCACTTTGCCTGTTTTGTCAATGCACAGGAAGAACTTGTTAGCAGAGTAAAGTCGCCGTAGTCGGACATCGCCCTCTAGGTGATTGTAACTGCGAGTGTGCCTTTCCAATGTCCATGAACAGTTGATGCCACTTGCAAGAACCTGTAGGGGTTCATGCCCTACCCCGGGAGGACAGGCCCCTGTGGCAGTGCCAGCGGTGACCAGGAGCAGAGTGAAGCATGCCAAGCAAAGGGAGGCTGCACTGGGTAGGGGGAGAAGTCGCCTGGCGGAGGCTGCAGCAGTGGTGGTGCCAAGGGTAGGTTCAGGACAGAGATGGGCTACGGACAGTGTCCATCTGCACATGGTGGGTCAGACTCCCAAGGTGCACCTTGTGCAAGCTGTAGGCATGCTGATGATCAGGAGATGTCCTGGTGGAGGGATGACAAGAGGGTGGGATTCCTGAAGGGAGGGAAAAATTGCACTCTCCACAGACCCTCTGAATGTCACCAACAACCAGTGTCCACTCTGGGCTGACAGCAGGCCTCCCTACAGAAACAAGCTCTTTTCTTCAGTTTTCATCTTCAGTCCTGTTTTGTCTGTTTGTCCACTGGTTGTCCACTGCTTTCATAAATTCAATGGATCCACCTTGAAAAGTTCCTCTTCAATCCCGCTCCTTGTCTGTCAGTATGTCTTCCTCCTTCTTCTTTCCTGGTCCACAGATAAAAAGTCCTGGGCAGTTGATGCTCACGTGTGTGAGTATTTGTGTGCGTGCGTGTGTGTGTGTGTGTGCACCTCGCAGTGCTCTGCTCTTTCCAGCTGGATAGTAACAAGGTGCCTGTCTGAGCTGCTGGCCCGCAGTTGAATGAGGGTTGGTGACTGACTCTATGTGAGTGTGTATGCGTGTGTGTTTGTGTGTGCGTGAGTGTGTGATACTGGGAGAGGAAGAGGGAAAGAGAGGGAGTGAGTAAGTGAGTGAGTATGGGAGGGAGAGAGCAAGTGTGTGTGTGTGTGTGTGTGTGTTTGTGTGTGTGTGTTTGCGACAGAGAGAGAGAGAGAAAGAGAGAGAGCGAGGCAGTGAGAGTGTGTTTGTATGTGTCAGAGTGAGTGGCAGTCAGCGAGTGTGTGTCAGCCAGCACAGGGCAGCGAAGCAGTAAGTTAATGGCCTCGCGCTCTGCTGTGCAGTCAGTCAGCCAGTCCTCTCCTCTGTGGAGGCACCGGCTGAGTCGTCCTGCATTTTATCCTGGGCAGGGCCGGCATCTCGGGTGTTGAAAAGGAGAGGGCTGGGGCTGGGTGGGGGGTTGTGGGGTGGGGCCACCTAACTCATTCATAACCATTTCAAGCAAACTGGAAAGCCTACGACGCGCACCACTCCCTATCCATTTTCACTCAGAAAGTTTGTACTGTGAAAAAAAAAAAAAAACCCACAAATAATATGTTTTCCTACATACAAGTTTTATTATCATAATTTCGGGGCACCTGGAAAGACATACATCCCCTTCCAGTCCTGTGACCTCTGCCATCCCCGTCCCCCTTCACGTGCACGGTAAGGCATTGTGCAACTCAGTCAAATCAGCTCCATTACTGTCCACTGACCCAGCTCAGAGGCCGGCTTTCTTTTTATTTTGACACCTTCACTCTCCTTTCGTCTCTCTCTCTCTGGCCACATGGGGCAAATTAAGGGACCCTTTCCCTATTTTTTAATGGCCGCTGGTTTGAATCATCAAGTGGTCGGAAACACAGAGCAGGTTGCAGGAGTGTTGGTGGAGTTAGTCCAGATGAAGCCCATGAGACTCTCTGATCACCTGCGTTAATATTTCAATGAAACACCCTCTCTGATCTTTGTCATTTAATTTTGGGAGGGCAGAACGGAAATGAAGAACACCTTTTTTGTGACTTCCAACACTCTTGTCTGTTTTTTTACAGGCTGTGAAATGAGCCTGATTAGGACAAGGCATCAAGCTCAGCCCGAGGAGTTCAGATATCGGTGGTGACTCGTTATTTAATGGTATTACTTTTAATATCAATGTAAAGCAAAAGAAGAACAAAGACATATTCTATACTATCTTATTGGACATCAACTTTTTTTTCGACTTTTGGGAAATAAGCCTTTTTGGCTTTTTGGAACAAATCAAATAAAAGCACTCTGCAATAAATATACAATAAGTTATACAGCCAGTTATCCTAGGTTAGCATTGCGATTTTAGACATGGCAACACAGCTAGTACTCTGTGCAAAAACTTTTTAAAAAAATCAAATACCCTGACTGTAAGCAGAAAATCTCGTCCTCGTTGTGACAGATTCATAATTTTCAATAAAACAACAATCGCGTCTCCACTTCCTCCCACTATCTGCCAGTTTGCGTATGTGGAGTCAGAATCGACACAGTAGGGATCAGGAGAAGGAGCCACAGTGATGATGTTGATAAAAACAATCACAACCAATCGCAGCTGAGTTTCATCTGTCCATCATTATGTTTAAAATGACAAATGAAAAATGTATTTATCGTTTGATAACAAGGAGGAGGCGGGTTTTATGGCCTATGCTGCAACCAGCCACCAGGTGGTGATCAAGACTCTTTGAACTCTATTTTGGCGAGCTGTTATTTCATCCAAGCTTATGTATGGTCTATGCTGCAGTACATGAATAAAAAAGAACTGTGCTTTCCATAATGACAAACTAATCCTCCAAGTTTTAAATTTTAAACGTGAGATGAAAACTAACACGTACCTTTTTTCTCCACCAATGTTGATGCTATCAAAATATAAAGGGAGATTGAAAAAGTGAAAGAAAGCTAAAGAAGATGCAGACATTCTGAAATGATGCTGCCCAGTTAGCGCTGTCACTCATCTGCTTTACTTCAGTTATAGTTAACACCCTGAGGCCAGATTAGTTGGAAGTTTTTAATATTATGTAGTTTAACCATCGTATGAAAGTTATATCTTGTGTCATTTTCTTTTTAGATAGATAGATAGACATAATACAATGATAAATAAAGGCTTTCTAATCTATTCTATTCTACTCCAAGTGTGTCTTAGTTTAGTATTTGTTCTTAGTTTTGTATTTGTTTGTACAGTGACAGTCACTTCACATTATTTTGCTCATTTACTGCCCCCGAGACTTGCTGTCCCCCTAACCCCTATTTAAACTTAACCCTCACAAAAAAAGGAATACAAATCTGCTGGAGAGAATCCAGTAACCTTTTATTCCAAACTCCGAGCTACGACCCCCAACTCCCCCAAGCCATTCCTGTCTACCTGCGTGTATGCTCTGTTTCTTGGCCCCCGCCAGGCTCCTCATCAAAGCAACTTTCGGCAAAGATGTAAATGGGCCTAGTAAAAATCATAGTCTTTCACCCTCAATTAAACCACAGTGTCGTGTCTGTTAACTTCCGCAGGCTTTATGTGTTTTCTGGCTCTTTACTCATCTTTTCTCTCCTGTTTCTGTCCTTTAAAGTCAAACAGGGTAACAAAGAAAAGAAACTGGTCTTGTATCTGTGTCAAGGAGACTGTGTTGGGGAGTGGGTGGAGTCTTAATAAATAGATATGATAAAAATGATAAGTGCCAACCATGCACCAGCTAATGTCAGGGATCACCAGCAGATGTTAGAGACATAAGTTGTGTTGTTGGTGTCTAGGTAAGTTGCTTTATGATGATCACAACTGTAAATTTCTTTGTATTTGCTTATCAGTAAGTCATCTGTAGTTTTAACTAAAAAATATATTTGAATTGTACAAAGTGAACTTCCATTAAAATGTGCTACTCCCTTCAGTTCTCTCTGCAGATAGAGGCAGATTGTTGTGTTGCACATGCTTGATAATTAGATTATACTTCCAGCTAAACGTCCCAACAGATTCCATATGTCAATGATAAAATGTCCAACCCCTTTAACCATTTATTTTTCCGCTATGTTCAGGGAAGAGTTGCTAATCTTTACGGAAGAAAACGTTTAAATCAAATTGTTGCTAATAATGATTGTAACAGCAATTTATAATGAATAAAATCTGAAGATGTTAATAATGTAAAACAAAATAAATATTTTCAATAGTCTATCATCCATTTGGCCGATGTGTTAGAGTGTATTTGTAGATTTGTATACTATTATTCATACAACATTGCATAACATTCAATGTAATGCACTTTGTATTGTACTGTATACATTGTAACCATGTTTACTATGACTTAACTGCCTTCTACTAATACTTTTAAGTTGACATCATAAAATCATTAATTTTTAGAACTTCATTATCTCTTAAATAAATAAATATAAATAAACATGTTATGTATAATGATGGGGTATATAAATATGATATATGGCACTTAAGTCCTTCTCTTATCTACTTAGTAGCATATATGTGGTTCTATTTGTCTTTTATGAGATAAAATAAAAATTTAGCACACATGCAAACAAAGAGAAAGAAAGAATAACAACAATACTATTCTACTGTACAATCCTACAACCTTTTTACTACATTACTACTTTTAAGTCCGAATCTTTTTTTTTCCTCTCCTGCTTTGATGTGACTTTTTTCTAATCATTGCACCATAAAAGAAGGAGTTTTTCAAGGCACAGCTCAACCTATGCCTACTGAATACTTTCAGGTTTCCATTGTAAAAGTAAATTTACAATATCTTATATATATATATATATATACATGGTATATATTATGGAATTTAAAACACCATATATGTAGTTTAAATTCTGCTTTTATCTACTCACTAGTATATGTGGCCCTATTTCTCTTCTGCAGGTCAAAATAAAAAGGAAACACGTGAAAACAAACTCAAAAAAGAGTATGAGAACCACAGGAAGTTGTAGTTGTCCATCCTTTGCTGAAATTTCCTGTGATTAAAATTACACAATCACTCTATGTGCTGCAGAACTCCTCACAAATCAGAGTGGCCCCCCGAGGTCAACAGCAGAGCTCGGGCCTCGTGTGAACGTCAGATGTGGCAGTAGATTGCTTTGTGGTGTCTTGCAAGCAAATGTTTGGGCTCTGAGCTCAGTGGCCGAGCAGAAATAAGCATAATGTATTTCTTTGTTAAAAGTCTGAACGTGCACTGTCTTGCTGTTTTACAGTGAGCATCTTTGATGATGTCAACTACAGTAATGTGGATGATTTCAAGGTCATAACTCACATTGAGGATTTAGTAAAAGTCCAGTTAAACTAATCCTGGTTAATATTGTTGAGCTCAAGTAAAATTTACGTGTGTAATCCACTGCATAATTTCTTCCATCAGACGCAGGTACGGGGAACCTTTGAGGCTGAGCTGAGTTGAGCTGAGCCGTGCTGTGTGGGTGTGCCCTGAGCTGAGAACACCACTCTGTGAGCCAGGCACCCAAGAAGGATGTTCTCAAGTGGAGGAACCTAATCTTTCCCAGCAGGGATCCAAGCGGCTCTGTAAGTGTATGAATAGAGATAATATCTCTATAATGAGGCCTGTTTTGTACCATCAAAGTCTTCAAAAGAGTCTGAAACCCGACCTCCCTCCTAGCACTGACAATCCCTCAGTAATAGCTCCCTATTATTAATTGTTTTGCCTTCCTGCTAAGTCCATGTCTCCCTCTTTCTCTCCCCTACTCTTGCAGTGTTTTAGCGACTCACCCTTGACCCAGTGCTTTTAACGTGCACTGACATTCTGCCAACTTGCAAATCACTGCTGGAAGGGTATTTGTTTTCCTTGTTTTAAGATAAAACTGTTTCCAGATACATGATAATCTACTTTCTCTTGACTGTAG